AGCTGTATCTCTGATCTGTGTTATCCTCGTGCTGGGACTCAGGTTACAGAATTGCCACTATCTAGAACATTGCCATCCACATTGTAGAGGAGAAGAGTTCTGGGGTGGGGAAAGGAGAGAGGGATTCTAGACAGAACTAGTCACATGACCTCACGACCTCTAAGGAGGCCAGGAAGTAAGATCTGGTTGGTTACATGTCTGCAAGAGGAAAGAGCTGGAAATGTTTAGTGAGCAGCACTAATGACCACCTCTGCCATCCACTCTGTCCAATGATCTATTTAAAATCTATCACATAAGCTAGGACAAAGGACCCCTGTCTTGTAAATAAGGACATATGTCCACTTTTCCTTCTTATGCTACTTTCATCTGGTAACACATGATGATGCCAGGGGTTCTGGGTAACGCTACTGCCTTCCCATAAATAGATCAAACTGACAAATTTTATCTTTTATAATTATACACTGAGTTATTTAAATGTTTGCATTATAGTTATGAATTTTGGATTTTAGCTGTGCAGAAATTCATCTCAGGAACTCAGACATGAAAGCAGATTGAAAGTTATTGATAAAATCCTAGAACTGAAGGAATCTCAAACCAGCATTCTAAGCCCTCCCCTTGTCCACTTGCAGTATAGTGCATTTAAGTGTCGGGCAGCAGAAATCGTTTTAGAAATGGAAATGGCATTCTTACATGTATGAGCAGCCTCCTATAGAGAAGGGTCATCTCAAGGCACGTATAAGCATATGTACACCCTCAGAATGAAAGGGTCTCCTGTTGACAAATAGAACTGACCAGTAGCCTATCCTATCTAGCATGTGGATCTCGTAGCCTCTCCATGATTCTTCTCATCATGTCCTCTTCAGGACCACCTTTGCAGGGACCTCCCATGGGCACCTGACCACTCTGCTCTCTCTACCTTGAGGTTCAAATGTGGGACCTCATTCACTTGCCACCAAACAACAGCAACACAAGACTCTTGGGTAGAATAGATCTCTCCTGGGGTGTGATAGTGAGAGGAGAATTACATCCAGACAGCATGGAAAACAATTTAAAATTGATTTTTAAACGCAACTCTTTTCAATAGGCCTTTTTATTGCCCCCTGGGAATTTCTTTCTGCAAATTCTTGTTCTAGCTTCTTCCAATTTCTTTCCTTCCAAATGGATTTTTCCCTTTTTCTCTCTCCATTAGGTGGGACCCACCTTTTCATACCCCAGTGGTCCATAAAGTTGCTTTGTTCTGCAAAACACAATTTTCTCTGGAAGGAATTTCACCTCTAGCTTGTATAGTAACATTTTTCTGTCCTAACAATTTATTATTAGCATTAATAACATTTTTAAATTAAAGTGTTATGTCTGTTTTCTCTCGTGCCATGAAATGATAGGCTCTCTAATTTGAAGTGTTTCTTGATGGCAGGCCAAAATTTTCAGAGCAGGTGTATATTATACACACACACACATATGCACACATGTACATATATGGTGTCTCACATGTACACATGTACACATATGGTGTCTCATATCTTTTTCTTATGGCCGTATACCCTTTAATATAGTATTGCTGGCAAAAGAAATGGTTACAAAACAAAGATCTTTCCCAAAGTGGAATAATGTATGTGTGAAATTTTAATGCAACAAACAGAAAATTATATTATATATTATATATATTATTATATAAAATATTATATATTATATATAATTATATAAAATATAATTATATGTATTTTTTATCCAAAAAAGAACTTTAAAAAGAAAAACAAAAAAAAAAAACTAAAATCAAACAAAAAAGTATTCTATCCAAAAATATTTTCATCTATAATTTTGGTTATTGATTGTATCTGTTTGCTATTATTACAATAATGCTACCTGATAAATTGTCCCAAAACTCACTACCTTTTATTGTCATACATCTGCAGTTGAACTGAGAGTTAGCTGCTCTAAACTTGGCTTAGCGATCCTTGTAGATCTGCTCCAAAGTGCAGATTAGATCCAGGTCTGCTCGCTCATTCCTTTGCGGGCCAAGTGGGTCATGTCTTTTTTGTGTTGAAGCAGAAGTTGAGAAAGGCAAGCTCCACCTCACAAGCCCATTTCAAACCTTTGACTGCATCACCTCCATTCACATCCTGTTGGTCAAAGCAAATATCAATGTAATACAGAAGAAATTTCTCTCAGAGCTAAAGAGGAGAATGAATATTTGCTGAATGATAATTCAAACTCTTCCATAAACTAAATATCACAGGAGTGACTGCCATGCCCAATACCTGTGCTTCTCTTCCAGCCAGATCCATCAGGCACCAGTGATCACTTAAACCAGGAAGGGCTATTCGTTAAATGCAAGGCCTGTCAGACAAATAATCCATTCCTGCAGGAGCAGACTTTTCTCCCAGAAAAGCATTAAAGACAAAGCTTACATTTCCTTGAGCAGTTTCTTGTGAGGCAATTATAGGGCAAGTCACTAAGCTGACCCAATTTATACAACTTAATGAGAATTATTTGCACCTTGCAATAAATTGTAACCCATAGATCTTGAGTGTTCCTTTGTGCATATATCCTGCAAAATGAGGCTTTGAAGGATTCACAATATTAAAATGGGTAATATAAGCCATGCTAATATATTAAAATTTTAACTAATCTCATATTAGCTTATTTAAAGTGCCATGTAATTGCAAGCAATTGTTTTTGTTTCACCATATGTTTATCCTTACAAAAATGCTGGAATATTGAATTTTTTCCTGTGCCTGTTTCTGGTTTTCTGATTTAGCACAGAGGCTGGTAAAGTATGTCTCTGTAAAGTTTTATTGGTACCCAGCTCTGCCTATCTGTTTCCATGCCGTCTGTGGCTGCTTTCACTCTACAATAGCGTCTTAAGAAGTTGCAATAGAAATGGCATGATTGCAAAACCTAAAATATTTACTATGTGGCAAACGGAAAAAATGTACCAATCCTGTTTTAACATAATGTTAGACAGATGAAATTTTGAAATTTGGGTTATTCACACAGATCTAGAATGAATATTGTCCTTGAGTTATCCCAAGGGAAAATTATTTGAGGAAATCAGTAATGTAAGCAAAAATTTACAATTTCAGCCTATTTAAGAAGGCAATATTTTTAATAATTTAGCTTATGGGCACTCATCTTCAAACAAATAATTATACCAATTATAAATTTGCATCTGCCTGTTAAATAAGCCCCAAGAAATCTTACTGTTTTTAGCTTTTAAAGAGATTATTTTAGGACCTCCCCGGTGGCGCAGTGGTTGAGCGCTGGATTGCGAAGCTGCCCGAGCCTCTGCAACGCCGGTTTGATCCCCGGCTGCTCCCCGGCCACCGGAGGAGGGTCCCACATGGGACCTCTCCTGCCGCCCGCTGCTCCCCTCAGCAGTGTACTTCGGACCTTCTGCCTATTCTGCTGCCCGCTCTGGCTCTGGTGAATTCTCTCACCCTCCCGCGCTTCTGACTGTACCCAGTGCTTGTATAAACAAATAAATCTTTTAAAAATAAATAAATAAATAGATTATTTTATCTGTAATAATCTGTTTTTTTAATATGTACTATTGTACATACATTAACATTTTGTTAATATAGATTATTCTACCTTCATTCACACACATAATATCAGTACCATCTGAATTCATGTAGCCTTACTATATTGTGTTCATGGGTACTTCAAAATACCAGTCCCTGATTTCATTTTGGAAGTTGGAGAAAGTGACCTTATGATTTGCCCTTTGTCCATTCTCGGAGGTCATCTGACAGCTTAAGGAAAAAAAAAAAGGAGGGCCTCCCTGGTGGCACAAGGGGTTAAGACGCAAACTATGAAGCTATCTGCAGCCACTGCAGCACAAGTTCGTTCCTCGGCCAGGGAGCAACCCACATGGTGCAGCAGGCCATTCCTGGCTTGCCCTCCGCTCCCCTCAGCAGTGTATTTCAGTTGGGCTGCCTGTTCTGCTCCCCAGTCTGTCTCTGGTGGATCCTCTCACCCTCCCACACATCTGGCCTGTACCCCGGTTCTTGTATACATTAATAAATAAATCTTTTCTTTTTTAAGATTTATTTATTGATTTATACAAGCACTGGGTACAGTCAGAAGCGCGGAAGGGTGAGAGAATTCACCAGAGCCAGAGCGGGGAGCAGAGCAGGCAGAAGGACCGAAGCACACTGCTGAGGGGAGCTGCGGGCGGCAGGAGAGGTCTGTGCGCCATGTGGGACCCTCGCCGCGGCCAGGGATCAAACCGGCGCTGCAGAGGCCGTGGGCAGCCTCGCAACCCAGCGCTCAACCACTGCGCCACTGGGGAGGCCCAATAAATAAATCTTTTAAAAAAAGAAAAAGGGGGAAAAAAAAGGACCACTACTATTTATCAAGACTGGGAGGAAAAGGGCTCAAAACAGGGGAGGGAAGAGCACAAGGGACTATGGTGATGGTTCACTGGTGAACTGGTGGTGGGAATTTTACGAGGAATATACAATGAGGTAAAAGATATAAATAAAAAATAAATAATTTTTAAAAAGACTGGGAGAGAAAGCATATATAGATTTCAAAAGAGAGTGTCAACTCTGAGTTAGTTTAGGCAGGGATGTAGAACCTAGGGTGGAGAGTGATCTAGAGTTGTTTTGATGGGATGTTGAATGAGATTCAGAAGTATGTTTCTATGTTCTGGGATTCATTTAAGGCCCAAATAAAACCTCAATTAGAAGCCTAGATTCTGGAGGAGTTCAGTCCACTTCTTCTCCACACTGGACCCGCACCTAGAACTGTCTAGAAAATACAGGATTTAGACAGTGGACTCCAAAGTTGGAAATTAGGTAGAAACAAGGAGGGTGCCAAGCGACTTCTGAAAGGAAGCTTTCCAGTGGTATCTGCCAAGCAGGCAGGGGCTGTGGATCATCAGTTTCCTTTACAAGTCATGTGGGACTAGAATCTGTGAAATGACAGTTCTCCATCCATGTCAGCTGAACGCACTTGTTCAAATGCGCTTTGTTCAAATGTTGCTTTTTTTCTTTCAGGAGTTGGATGGGAGAGTTTGCTGCTAAAGGGAGAAGAGACAGCCTTAGGGGTCTTAGAAACATCCAACGCAGACATGACTATCCAGGTAAGAGATCCTTCCTCTATTTTGATTCTCAAAGTGCATCTTTAGAGTAAAGTGAGCCCATGCTCTAGGGACAAAATGAGTACTGTCTTCCACCCTGCTGGATTCACTCTATTCCCTGAATCCCTAGTGAGCCAGCGGGAATAAGGTTTCCTGAAATTCAGGATCTGGAATAGGAAACCACCTGAGAATTAGAATACAAGATGGGTGGTTTCCAATGAGCCTGAGGTAGGGTCCTCAGGGAATATCTACCCACAGGGTGTCAGTAAGTGGGTAAGTGGTGACCCCAGAGGGACAGTAAAGCAAATCTGAAATTTCTGAATTATGAAATTGAGCCCCACTGTGCATTGTGGAGAAAGGTCAGAGAGGCAGAAAGAGCTTTGATCTTGACTCAAGATTTCCACTGATGTCAGTGGGAAGGCAGCACATGGCCCACGCCAGCTGGAACACTCATGGCCAAAGCTTTACAAAATGAGTCATCTGGAAATCAAGCTAATTATCACTGTTCAAATTAAATGCTTGAATTTATAATCATCATCATCTAGATTAAGGAATCTGTAGTATAAGTTATCAGAGCCCCAACCACCTCCCCTTTTATTACTGGATTAGACACTAAGGAACAGTCTTTCTCTCTTGGAATTCTGTTTACACTTCAGTTAACAAAGACTGGGAGTAGGAGGGCTCTTAAATATTTTTGCTCAAATAATGAGAATTTAAATATATACCACTTACGGGTTTTTCTTTGAAAACAGAAAGTAAAGTGCCTCATTTTTAATTGCAATATAACTTGAGATATTTCATTCCTGGATTTATTCCTAGGGTTGAATGAAAAACTATAAAATATAAATGTATTCAAGCTTCCCTTTGTTGTGGGAAGGCTGAACTTACATCACTTATGTTAAAAACGTCAGAGAAAGCAAACAAAAATACCACAGTGGAATTAAAAAAAAGGTGGGATAGTAACCTGATTAGTTAAAAAAAAGGAAAAAAATCAACCAATCTAAATAATAATTATCCAGTGTTGAAAATTCATTACTTTATTATTATGTTTAGCAGAATTTGGAAGACGAAAATATAAATTACAGTGCTGTATATTGGTGTTTCACTGGTTATTATTGCAAAGACAGAAATCTATCACCATGTTGGATAGAGAGAAATGAATGTTGATAGTAAAATTTGATGGATTTAAATTTTCTATTTTGGAATCTATCTTCACTTTAAGAATTAAATTCTGTATATACCACATGAGTGAAACCATATGGTGTTTGTCTTCGTCTGGCTTATGAAAACAAACATATGAACTAAATAAAACAAAAATAAACTTTTGGACTCTAAGCTAATTAGTGGTTACCAGAAGGAAAGGAAGAAAGGGTGAGGGTAAATCAGGGAAAAGGGGACAGTGGTCTGGTGAAGAATAGATTTTGGGCTTTTAGCTGTGATCTTCATACAGGATATACACATGCTGATTCTCAACAATGAGAACCTGAAACTTACATCGTGTTACTTCAATAAAAAGGGGAAAAGTTCTATTTTCCAGCATTAAAAATCAAAAGAATTCATATCTGAGTTGTGTCACTAGCATACTGCACAGACACTTAAGTAATCAGAAACATTGGAGTTTGCTAAATAAGAGCAAAAAGCACACTCTATTAGAAGCAGGTCTTGTCCAGGGGCCATTGCATTGTTAAGGCTGCAACTTCACCAGTCTGTTCATTGGTACCAGATCTCAACTCAAGTTTTATTTGGCTCTATCCAGCTTAAGTGTGATTCTCAACCTTTCTCTTCTCTTTTATTGAGTACCTGGGAATTTTTTTAAAAATAAAAACAGGCTTTTAAGTTCACAAAAACTGAACAAACTCTGAGGATTGAACACCATACGCTTTGAAAAGTTGAAGGTCCAGGTTGGAGAATTAGCATTTTTTAAAAAGATTTATTTATGTATACAAGAGCTGGGGTACGGGCCAGAGGTGCAGGGGCTGAGAGGATTCACCAGAGACAGAGTGGGGAGCAGAAAAGGCAGATCTACTGAAATACACTGCTGAGGGGAGCAGCAGGCGAGACATGAGAGGTCTGCTGTGTCTTGTGGGTTGCTCCCTGGCCAGCTGGGGATGGAAGTAGTGCTACAGTGGCTGGCAATAGCTTGACAGCGCTGTCTTTAACCCCTGCACCACCATGGAGGCCCTGAGAATTAACATTTTAACAAGTGTTCCAGGTGTCTCTTGTGATCTATTTGGGACAGCAACTTAGTGTGGCAATTAAGGTGGTTGGGAATGGCCATCAGCCCTCCTGCACCAGGCCTCTCATTGCCCAGCTACTCTGAGACAGGATGTGGGACCTCCCTGTTCAAAACCTTTTGATTACGTTCCTTTGAACACGATGAAGGCTGCTCTTGGCGTTCCTGATGGCCTCTCTCTAACCACGATATCATTTGTAGTCCTGTCTGCCACCATGTCTCTCTCTGTGCCATTCTTGTCCTCTCCACCCAGTCTCTTTGCGCCGAAGTGATCATCTGAAAAGTCCAATCTGATCATGTCTATCCTCTCCTCAAAGCCCCGCCTGCCCTCCCCATTGTTCTTAGAACCAAGCCCACGCTCCTGTAGGTGATGTGCTTTGTAAAATTCCATGACTGCTCACAGCTTCCTTGAATTTCATCCTCTCCCTTCCTCTGCCACCCAGCCTGGCTTGCTTTGCTTTATATCCCAGTCTTTGGTTCAAATACTCCCTCAGACAGACAGCACTTTCTGACCTTGTGTGTTACATGAGCTCATAGAACCTAGCACTGCTCCTTCCTAGCCAATCACATAAATACCCATACAGGTCATACATGCCAGCCAAGCTCCCCTGTACAACATCATTTCCATAAGAGCCTGCACCCCAGCACCTAGCGAGAGGCTAACTCAGGTGCAACTGTCACCACTGGATGAACAAATATTTGAATGAACAAATGAAGACCAATCTTTGCCAAACTTAGGCTAGAAGCGCTGACCTTCTTCATACTTGGGTTCTCAGCTCAGGGTCTCTCTCCCATGTCTCCCTCCCTGCTCCCCACCCAGATGCCACTGTCCTCAGAGCTGTATTTGTCTTTTACTTGTTAGAGCCTCTAAATTACAGTTCATTTTCTTGAACATTCTTTTTTTTTTCCTTTGCACAATGTTATCGAGGTGTATAATATACATGTCATCAAGTTCATAATTTTAAGTGTGCAATTCAGTTATTTTTAGTAAGTTTACTATCACCATAATCCAGCTTTATGACGTTTTCCTCACTCTACTAAGATTTCCTCGTGCCCTATTATAGTTAACCTCCATCCCCAACCCAACCCCCAGCTAACACTAGTCTACCTTTTGTGTCTTTAAATTGCCTGTTCTGGACATTTTGTATAGGTGGAATCATCCAACATGTGGCTTTTACGCAGCTTTTTTCCACTTGGCATAGAGATGAGGTTCTTCCATGGTACAGGCTCTATCGATGTTTCATTTCATGAGGAGTAGGATTCATCTCATGGCTGTATCAGTTCTTGGCTTTGGTTCATTCACAAGTTCATGGGCTTATGGATTATTTCCACTGTAAACTATTATGAACTATTATAATTTATTATGCCACAAATATTCGTATGCATATCTTCTGGGGACATGCATTTTCACTCATTTTGGGTGTGCACCCCAGAATGGACTTGCTGGGTTATATGATAAATCTCTGTTAAACTAGTTGAAGAACTATCAGATTGTTTTCCAAAGTGGCTGCCCCCGTCAGCAATTGGTGAGGGTTCTAATTTTTCCATATCCTAGCCAATGCTGGCCATTATCTGTTTTGATTGGAACCAGCTTAGTGGACCTGAAGCAGCCTTTCATGGTGGTTTTAACTTGCATTTCCCTGGTGGCTAATGATGCTGAGTTTCTTTTCATGTGCTTATTGAGTGGGTTCTGTTAGTAAATGTTCCACCACACTTGGCATCTTCTCATTGCAGGTGCTCAATGTTTTTTAAGCAAGGGACCCTCTTCTTGACTATGGGAGAGGGTTCTCAACCACTCTCAACCATTCAGCCACTCATCATCCTTTGGATCACTGCCATCACCCCTACCTGTGCCCTGGCTGCTTGCAGGGATGGGGGAGGGGGTTGGGGGGAGTGGCTCATTAATCTCCTTCTTTACATTTATTTTTATTGCTTTCTCTCTTTTCTGTCTGGTTATTTTCCCTTCACACCACAGCTTTTTGCTTTAATTTAATCATCTTCACTAACCTATTTGTGTTATATATTTTGTGATAAACTATATGTACGCTACACCTAAAATGTACATAACATAAAATTTACCCTTTCAAACATTTTTAAGTGCACATTCTTTGACATGATGTCATTCATATTACTCTGTAATCATTCCTACTAAGACCCCCAGAACTTCTTCATCACCCCAAACTGGAACTCTGTTATCTTTAAAAACTAGTTCTTTTTTCCCTTCTATTCATCATTGAATTCCTCATTCTGTCTTCCCTCCAACTCTAAGCAAACTCTGAGTGTCTTATTTTATATGTAATACCCTCTAGTTGTCTACCCAAAGGAATTTTAAATACTTTTATTTGAAATTGTAAAAATGCCAGTAAGATGGCTAAAATAGTAAAAATGCCAGTAAGATGGCTAAATCTCAAACTAATATGTTAATGTCCTTTGGAGAGGCAAGCTAGAAAGGCAGTCACTTTACATATTTAAAAGTAATGTTTCAAAATAAAGTTACTAGGAAACTGTTACATGCTAGATTTTTAAAGAGTTTGCTGCCACAGAGATTCCTTTCTTCTGGGGAGTGAGGTGCCCATTGCCAACATAGTGGAAGTGTCTTGGCTTTGTTTAACTGGGTGAATTGCTGGAACCACAAATTACACCTGTTTGGCTCTGCAGTCTTTTCTTGAATTTTGTTTATTTGGTGCCTACACAAAACTGTATCAATCCAAGTTAAAGAAATGGTGACTTAGCTGCCGTTTTAATGAAATATACCAATTTGCTCTCTTGT